TGTGTTCCTGTATACTCACATGTAATGTCCTGCTAAGCAAGTAAAACTTAATTCAGCATTCCTCAAGATTTCAGTGCTTCATCTAAACACATAATAAACAATTGACCGCAATAATTACCCTCCTCATCCATTGGTGTTCAGTGGTTACCTACCTGAACACACGCTCCCACATTGCTCCCCTCTTCCCCCTTGACATTAGGAAGATACTTTACTATCCGTGTCAGCCAAGAGATCAGTCTGGGACTGTCTTGTCACATCCAGGACTCGCAGGCTACAAAAGAAGTTTCCCATGAGCCACATGTGGCCTGTGAACTGCCAGTTCACTAATCTGTACAACCAAAGACAATTACCTCTTACTATACAATATTCCTTAGTGAATAGAAACTCTGCCACACTTTCATTCAGTGGGTATTCTGAATTATTATTATAACAATAAACTGGAAGTAATATTAAATGAGACAAACCTTTTCTTTTTAAGTTATTTGTTCTGTTCTACAGCTGTGTAAATGCTCCCTCTAGTGGCCATCTGTATATCAAGCATGCTGTATACAAAAATGTTCATTTCAATATATTATACTATACGATATGTAGATACAATAGCCACAAAGGATATAAAATCACCTTGTGTGCACAAAATCTCTCTGCAAATCTAGAAATTACTTTGTAAAAGTGGCAAGCTTTGTGTATTTCTTCTGGATCTGTGCAGTAATCCAGTGTAAAACCTCTGTGGAGGAGCTTTCTGTAATAAAGACTGGTCACTGCTGCTCTCTCACCTTCTGTAGGGTTACTGTTTTTTTCTCCGCCCAGAGGCGTAACTAGAAATCACAGGGCCCCAGAGCAAAAATTTTTATGTGGCCCTGTGATTTCTAGTTACACCCCTTGCAGAGCCCACCTGAGATCCCACACAGCCCACCTGAGAGTGACTCTTTATGGTAGGCTCTGCAGGGTTCCAGGTGGGCTGGTCACACCCCTTACCTGTCAGCCCCGATACGCTGTCCGCCGCCTCCTCCTCCTCCACGTTCGCTGGTGGGCCCCGCCTCCTCCATCACCAGGCCCTGCCTCCTACATCACCGGACCCCTCCTCCTCCGCTGCCGACCCCGGGCCCCACCTCCTCCTCCACTGCTAGGTCCAGCCTCCTTTTTCGGCGCAGCTGGCTGTCACTGACTCAGCAGCGGCTGTGGAGGGGAACGAGCCGCTGCACAGATCAAAGAGAGTGATGTGAACAGCGGCGCATTCCTCTTCACAGCCGCCAGTGACAGCCAGCAGCATGAGATGCCATAGCGACCCACACGGCATCAGGGGATGTCCTGGCCGGGCCCCCCTGTGCCCCAGGCCCCATAGCGGCCGTCTGGGTTGCTATTGCGATTGTTACGCCACTGTCCCCGCCTCCTCCTCTAGACCGCCTGTAGTGGGTTGAGCCTCCTGAGCCCCTCCTACAGCACAGTGGTGATGTCACCATACTTTTACAAGGTAATATCCTGGTATGCAAAGGCATTTTGTGCACACAAAAGGAATGTTTTGTGCTCTAAGTTATGTTTAAAGGAGTTCTATAGTCCCAGCATATACTCTCCTGTTATAGCATCAGCATTGTAACAGGAATACATACTAGAGTTGGTTTTGATAATACAATCAAAGCATTTAGTGAGTGCTGCCTTCTGTCTGTCCATCGCTTTGAACAACTTCCTGGATTCCCGGTGTGCTTTGCATCTCTTTCCTTGATGCTTTATGTGATACAATCTCGATTTATTAAGACTACATATCCAATGGTGCATTGCTTCCAGCAAGCAATGATAATGTTACATTGTTCAGACATTGATTTGTAGTTCAAAAGGCAGGCTCGGTGAGAGCGGTGACACAAGATAAGTGCATATTCACAGGGCTGAGTGACATTGTGTCAGAGCATTGAGGAAGTACATCCTTTGGGCATCTTTAATAAGTAAGTTTACAAACTTTTAGATGGATTTGGTATTAGGAGAGGGATAGAACTTCTGGAAATCCAATATGGAAATACAGACTTTCAGGTTTGACTAGAAATGCACCGATACCGGTACTAGTATCGGAATCGGTGCCAATACAGAGCATTTGGGTGAGTACTCGTACTCGGCCAAATGCTCTGATGCCTTCCCTGATACCAGAACTTCCGCTCAGAGGGAGATTTACTCTGACTGGCAGTGCCGAAACAGAACATGGAGCCGGCTTCCCGGCCAATTAGGAAGCCGGGTGGCAGGTACTGACACACCGCCCGGCTTCCTAATTGCCCAGGAAGCCGACTCCATGCTAGCGGAAGTCCCGGTATCGCTACTCGGTATCGGCTAGTACCAGAAGATAAATATCTGTACTCGATACAAAACAAACAATATCGGTGCGTCCCTAGTTTTGACCAAAGATACCCTTTAAAATTTCACATACACAAATATAGAAAAGACATTTGAAGAGTGAAGTCAATCTAGCATTTTATTGCTGTATTCATTTCCATAGATTATATTGTGGGAGACATTGCTACGACTGGTAGACATCATAGAAAATCTATTGCAATTATTGCTAGATAGAAACTAATTGCACTTCTTCTTCTGAACAGTGAAATCCTCGGTGAGACACAAACATACATAGGACTTGTAGTTCCACAGCAGCTGGAGTGCTGAGGATACCTACCCCTGACCTAACACAACCAAACACTGGTTATACAGGTTTCTAAAAGTTTGTGAAGGCAAAATATTGTGACATCTGTAACTTGCTCAGGGCTCTCGCGATCAGGGCAGTGTCTTTTTCTCAGATGTTTCTAAAATCTATATTTACATGTCAGTTATTTCCTGCTGGACCTGTTACTGACAATGACACTGCATAAGACAGGGGTAGGCAACCTCAGCACTCCTGCTGTGGTGAGACTACAAATGCCGTCATGCATCTAAGTCTAATGCCTGTGGCTGTCAGAGTCTTGCAATGCCTCATAAGACTTGTAGTCCCACAACAGCTGGAGGGCCATGGTTCCTTACCCCAGTTCTAGCTTTAAATTATGTGCGACCTGTTCGTTTTGTGTTTAGAACATTTTTGGTGAAGGTAAAACACTAACATAAAAGGTCGATGACCATCATTGGTCAATGGCCATCACTGACCTTCTATAGCCACATGGCCATATTTGTTCTTTGACAATGACTTATTATGGCCGTGTGGCCATAAAAACTCAATGGACATCATTGGTTAATGACCATCACTGACCTTATATGGCCACATGGCCATATTTGTTCCATGTCAATGGTCTAATATGGCCATGTGGCCATAAAAGGTAAATGGTTATCATTGGTTAATGACCATCATGACCTTATATGGCCACATGGCCATATTTGTTCCATGACAATGGTCTAATATGTCCATGTAGCCATAAAAGGTCAATGGATAGCATTGGTTAATGACCATTATGACCTTATATGGCCACATGGCCATATTTGTTCCATGACAATTGCCTAATAAGGCCATGTGGCCATAAAAGGTCAATGGATATAATTGGTTAATGACCATCATGACCTTATATGGCCATATTTGTTCCATGGAAACGGTCTAATATGGCCAAGTGGCCATAAAAGGTCAATAGACATCAGTGGTTATTGATCATCATGACCTTATATGGCCACATGGCTATATTTGTTCCATGACAATGGCCTAATAAGGCCATGTGGCCATAAACGGTCAATGGATAGCATTGGTTAATGACCATCATGACCTTATATGGCCACATGGCCATACTTGTTCCATGACAATTGCCTAATATGGCTATTAGGCCATAAAATGTCAATATACATAATTGGTCAATGGCCATTATTGACCTTACATGGCTACATGCTCATATTTGGTTATGACATAGATCTAGTAAGGCTATACGAATAGATTTTTGTATCATGGACCGCCCTGTGAAAGGTGGCACAAAATTTATGATGACCCTTTAAATAGTTGTCCTCCCATAACAATCTTCTTGGCAAGATTTGGCTACAATAGTGCTAGGTATTATTTTTTTTCTAGGAGGGGACAAAAGCAGTGAGGGAATTATGATAAAAACGAAAGAAGGACATACAAACCACATGCAAATAGTGCCCCAGTTGGGAATCAAACTTGATCACAGTACTGCAAACCTTCAAGCCATAAGTTGCCTGACACACCACTAAACCACAATTGCGGCCATTACTTTAGTTTGGGACAGAATGGGGAAGAGTTAAAACCTTTATTAGGTTTTCAATGCTCTCTCTCTGGCACTTGGGGAGATTTCCCCTCACTTCACGTGTGACAAAAAGTGAGCAAAATCTCTCCAATGGAGGCATAAATATTGTGGGGAGCCGTGAGATTCTCTGTTAAGTTTTAACGGCTGTTTGGGAGATCTCACTTCCTGTGTGGTCACCAGTAGGGATGAGCTTGGATTTGGACTGTACTAGAGTTTGTCCGATCCTGGAAGGAAGCTGTTAGCACCAGCTCAATCAACTGTGGTTGGGGCATTCCCAGCTGGACGTAAACACGGGATATTGTTAACATCATTGACCTTTTATGGCCACATGACCTTACTAGGTCAATGTCATTAACCAAATATGGTCATGTGGTCATATAAGGTCAATGATGGCCAATGACCAATTATAGCCATTGCCTTTTTATGACCACATGGCCATATTAGGTCAATGTCATTGAACAAATATGGCAGTGTGTCCGTATAAGGTCAATGATGGTCACTGACCTTTTATGGACACATGGCCATATTCGGTCATTGTCAATGAGCAAAGATGGCCTTTGTTTATGTGCAGCTGAAGGGTCGAGAATGCCCTGGCCACAGCTGATTGGGCCCACATTAACAACTTTTTTCTGGGTTTGGACGAACTAAAATTTGGACTGAACCCGAGCTTATCCGTAGTCACCAAAGAACGAAGTCAGGTGAAATCTCCCCAACGGGAAAACAGATGACAGTTAAAACTGGACAGAGGACCTTACCTTACCCATCCCCATTCTAATCAGAACAATAAAAAAAACTTCGGCTGGAGCTGAACCTATGAAGCAAGAGTGGTCGATGATGCCATGCTTTTTTGGATGTCCATTGGTATAATAGGCAGGTGTTGGCTTGTCTTGCTTGTGGTTCTACTTGGTGAAACATCATGGAGGTCAGCAGCAGACAATGAAGGGGTGATCAGGTCATTTTCCGTGTTGTCAAGAGATCTCAGAGCAATCTCTTCAGTGTTGTCACTGAGTGCCAGTTCACGTGGAAGCTGTTGCGGGTCTTCCAAGGAGTAAGGAGGAGGCTCGTCAGTGGGCAGGTATGATCCTGAAGTTCCTGGTCCCACGCATTCATCATAGCTAGAGAAAGACAGACATCAATGTTACCAACATAGGGAGAAAGGCTTTTTTTCCTCATATGGAACATTTTCCATCAAAGGTACGCTTCTCTTTGAGGACCCTTCCCCATAAAGAAAAAAAAAATACTTACCTTACACCGTGCCTTCTGGTTGCTTCCTGTAGGCATTGGTGATATCACTGGGCTGTACCTAGGGATCATGGGAATCCAAGATGTCACGAGAAGATGCTCCAGCACTGTGTAGCAGTGTATTCTGGAAGGATTTGGGATTTACTGCTTCCCCAAGACCCAATGAGAAGGACCACTGACTTATTGGGAAGGAATTAAATTTTTATAATTTTTCTTCAGATATTTTATAACTTTATTGCTTTCCCTTAGTGTTTTTACATGGGACAATGGGGGAGGGCTGAAAGATAAGTGGACCTTGTATATTCATGCTAGGTGTACTACAATGTGAGTTTGTACTTTGCCCATGCATGGTAAAGGAACAGGCTCAGCTTATGTTCCCCCTCCTCTGCTTATACTTCCCTTCTCTTCACCCCCCCTCCACTCTAATCAGCTAAGTGAAAAGTCCCTGCGTAAGCTGCAATCCAAGCTGGGCGGAGCTTACGCAAGGCTAGAGGCCCTTCCTCGGCCCCCCAATGCGACAGTATCAGTCTGTACTCATGTTTACTTTGTGTCTGGTAGTTACTACCACCCTTTAAACCCTGAAGGGGGTTCTCTCTGGCCCCTAAAACGCATCAGCTTTGAGATAAGGTCTTGGAATAAATCTGTATCTGGGCGAATAATTTTCGGTGTGACGCTTCAATCTCAAATCATGTCATGTGACAGTACTCAGGCCTGGTAATTGGCTAATAAGCACTGAATCAATTGAGGAAGCAGAGAGTCACATGGACACTCTCCATACCCAAAAGTACCAGTTACTTCACTTCCTAAAGGTCCCCACACACCTTACGATAATCGCACGATAATCGCGGGAAATCCCGCGATCGTACGATTATCGTAAGGTGTGTGGAAGCCGTGCGACCTCTACTACTGTAAGGTCGCACAACTTTAAACTTACGAACATGTTTCAAAACCCGCCGAGCATCGTACGATGTTTGGTGGGTGTGTAGCATGTTCGTAAGATAAAAGCCGGGCGGGCCAGTGTGCGAAAGTGCACACTGCCCGTTCGGCATTGCGGTCATCGGAAGCCTGCCCCTCAGGGGGCGTGGCTTGCGATCATCGCAAGTACGATATGCCTCTGCAACATAGGCAGATCGTACGTTTTTTTAAGTACCTTACAACCATCGCAAGACAAAAGTCTTGCGATGGTTGTAAGGTGTGTGCCCAGCCTTACTTTGTGTGAACATGGAGGTGGCCAATGTACTAGATCAGGGGCAGGCAACCTCGGCCCTCCAGGTATTGTGGAACTACAAGTCCCATAAGGCATTGCAAGACAGACATTTACAGGCATGACTCCCAGAGGCAAAGGCATGTTGGGATTAGTAGTTAAAGCACAGCTATTTGCCCACAGTTGATCTATGGATAGCCTTCTTCTCCTTAGCCGCACAAGGTCGTCTAAATCTTGGGTGGTGGGGGAACAACCTTGGCCCTCTGAAATTATAAATGCTGCCTGTAGCTGTCAGAGTCTTGCAATGCCTCATTGGATTGTAGTTCCATAACAGCCGGAGTGCCTAGGTCACCTACCCCTAATCTAGCGCAATGGCCGCTGCCATTCTACGCCATTGTCTTCCCGCTCACAATTATTTTTAAGCGGCTCTGTCTGCATCCCGGAGCAGATGGACGGTAAATTCAGATCTGCGAGGAATCTGAAAGCAATTACAATGTTGTGAGTCTGAAATATGCTGCCGGATAATACGGAGAGATGATTACTTCATGGCAGCAGATGCTCCATAGATCCTGCAAAACAAATAAAGACTCCTCTCCACCGGGAATAACTCTCTGCTGAATACACAACAGATCACATTAAACTGATAGAGTGCCGGCGATTTCCCAATCTCAGACAAGAGACTCCAAGGGGGGGGCGCCAGACCGGCTAATTTTGAAGCTGCAAATATGGCGTGCTTCTGGGGGCGGAATGCTCTCTAAAGCACAAAAACTATCATTTAAATACATTCCTCAATAGCCACAGAGGATATAAATCCACTTTGTGTGCACCAAATGCCTTTGCAAAACCAGATATTGCCTTAAAGTAGCAGTGACATCATCACTGGGCTGTACGTAGCATGTGCAGAGACAGCAGGCTCCACCCACTACAGAAAACTACAGTAGGGGGGGGCGAACACGGCCAGTCTCCCTGCAGAAGGAGTGAGCAGAGCTGTGGGAAGGATCCAGATGGCTCCACCCACTACAGCAGGGGTGGGCAATTCTGACCCTTAAGCTGTTGTGGAACTACAAGTCCCATGAGGCATTGCAAGACTCTGACAGTCATGGACACGACTCCCAGAGGCAGGGGCATTATGGGATTTGTAGTTAAAGCACAGCTGGAGGGTCGGAGTTGCCCACCCCTGCACCACAGGCTGCCTGCAGAAAACTACAGGAGGGGGCAGAGACAAGACCGGTCTCCCTGCACAAGGAGAGAGAGAGCAGCAGTGACCGGACTTTATTACAGGAGGGGGTGGAGACAAGACCAGTCACCCCGCACAAGACGAGAGAGCAGCAGTGACCGGTGCTTATTACAGGAGGGGCAGACACAAGACCAGCCACCTTGAATAAGGTGAGAGAGCAGCAGTGACCGGTCTTTATTACAGGAGGGGGTGGAGACAAGACCAGTCACCCTGCACAAGACGAGAGAGCAGCAGTGAGCGGTCTTTATAACAGGAGGGACAGAGACAAGACCAGTCATCCTGCACAAGGTTAGAGAGCAGCAGTGACCGGTCTTTATTACAGGAAGTGTCACACTGGATTACTGCGCAGATCTGGAAGAAATACACAAAGCTCACCAAGATGTCAGTAAGAATACATATGACTTGTATTTAGACAATATTTGCTTTAAAATAAACCTGACCTGACCACCTTGTAGTGGCTGCAAAGTACTCATGCTACTCTTCAAGTCAATCCCTATAGTCCCATGCAGCCCCTTTGGACCCCAATTCCAGGCTATATATATACAGGTGAAACTCGAATAATTAGAATATCGTGCAAAAGTCATTGCAGTAAGTGCTGCAAAAGGGGCCCAAACCAAGTACTGAGTACATATGCATGCTTGTACTTTTCAGAGGTCCGATATTGTTCTATGTGCAATCCTTGTTTTATTGATTGCATGTAATAATCTACTTTTTTGAGGTTGTGGATTTGGGGTTCTTGGGGTTTTTATGAGCTGTAAGCCATAATCATCAAATATATAGGCACTTTTCCATCATTAAATAGCTATTTCATGCAAAAAAGAATCATGACCCCCGTCCTATGCAGTATTTATGTTTTTGAAGTTGCTATTTTGAAGAGAAAATGATCATGAAATAAAAATAAAATACCAAACCGAATAACTGACATCTTAGTAAACTGGCCCTATTGCAATTAGGACCTGGCTTCCTGATTGGCCGGGAAGCCGTCTCTACGCTCCCTCGTGATCAGGTGACGAGGCATCATGAAGCCGGCTTTCTGACCAATCAGGAAGCCGGGGGGCGGGTAAAAACTCGCCATCCGGCTTCCTGATTGGCCAACTTCCCGACCAATCAGGAAGCTAGGCGGAGTGTCATTACACGCTGCCCGACTTCCTGATTGTCCGGGAAGCCGGCTCCATGCCCCCTCGTCACCAAGTGGCGAGGGAGCATGGAGCCAGCTTCCCAGTCAACCAGGAAGCCTAGCAGCATGTATTGACTTGCTGCCCGGCTTCTTGATACCAGAAGCTCAGGTATCGGGCTAGGTATCGAAGCATTTGGGTGAGTACGAGTGCTCGCCCAAATACTCTGTATCGGCACAGATACTGATACTAGTATCCGTGCATCCCGATAAAGTAGTACTCTGGGGACTCCGATGTAAAGAAATGATCAGGGGACTTCGATGTAAGGAGGTACTCTGGGGACTCTGCTGTAAAGAAGTACTCTGAGGACTCTCATGTAAGGAGGTACTCTGGGTACTCTCATGTAAGGAGGCAATCTGGGGACTCTCATGTAAGGAAGTACTCTGGGGACTCTCATGTAAGGAGGTACTCTGGGGACTCTCATGTAAGGAGGTACTCTCATGTAAGGAGGCAATCTGGGGACTCTCATGTAAGGAGGCAATCTGGGGACTCTCATGTAAGGAAGTACTCTGGGGACTCTCATGTAAGGAGGTACTCTGATGACTCTGACGTAAGGGGGGCTCTGGGGACTCTGATGTAAGAAGGTACTCTGAGGACTCTGATGTAAGGAAGTACCTGGGGTACTCTGATGTAAAGTGGGACTCTAGGGACTCTGATGGAAGGAGTTACTCTGAGAGCTCTGATTTAAAGGTGGACTCTGATGTAAAGACATACTCTGGGACTCTGATGTAAGAAGGTACTCTGGGACTCTGATGTAAAGCAATACCCTGGGGACTCTGATGTAAGGAGGCACTCTGAGGACTCTCATATAAAGAGGTACTCTGGGGACTCTCATGTAAGGAGGTACTCAGAGTACTCTGACGTAAGGGGGGTTCTGGGGACTCTGATGTAAGGCGGTACTCTGAGGACTCTGATGTAAGGGGTGCTCTGGGGTCTCCTGATGTAAGGAGGCAATCTGGGGTCTCTGATGTAAGGAGGTACTCTGAGGACTCTCATGTAAGGAGGCAATCTGGGGACTCTCATGTAAGGAAGTACTCTGGGGACTCTCATGTAAGGAGGTACTCTGATGACTCTGACGTAAGGGGGGCTCTGGGGACTCTGATGTAAGAAGGTACTCTGAGGACCCTGATGTAAGGAAGTACCCTGGGTACTCTGATGTAAAGGGGGACTCTAGGGACTCTGATGGAAGGAGCTACTCTGAGAGCTCTGATTTAAAGGTGGACTCTGATGTAAAGACATACTCTGGGACTCTGATGT